TAAGAGTTGGTTCCTCGCTCCTCACAACCTCCTGGTCTGAGCCCTTGCTGCAGGATGAAGTTTATCGTCATACCTTGGACGCGTTTTTGGGTGGATTTGTGTTTAAATTAATTTTTTGGCATCTGTTTATGTTTTAATGACAAATCTTTGACAAATACAATTGTAAAAAATAAATTAACAAATTTTGCCAGACAACTAATTCTTATTGATTGCCTAAAATATTTGTTTTAAAGAAATCTTTTTGCAAAAGAAAGTTTTCGTTCACATATATCAAAGAAATAAGCATTGTTGCAAACGTGACTTTTTTTTTTAGAAAATTACAGTTTCGTAAACTCTGTTAAAGTCAGAGATCTATTTAACTGTATTATAAACAGGATCCCATTTAAATCGATAAAAATCAATATATTTCGATTCTGATAAATCTCGCTGTTAAAGAATACTAACCTGCAAAAATTATTTAAAAAAATGTTTCCTATTTTTACGAGTGGCTCAGTCTATTTAAGTAGTGCCTCTTCTCGAATTAAGACTCTGTGTGAGCCTTCAGTAATCAGTGTATGTTTGATCTGCCAGTTTAACACCTGGATCTCGTTATAGGTCGAACACTTGATCGCCTACAGCAACACACGATAAGCATTACACCCACCCCAGCTTGTCGACGCCTCAAAATGTGAGAGCGATTCTCATCAGTAGTTTCCCGATCTTTACTCCATCTTTCTGACCCATCGACACGGAATGTTTCGGCAAATTAACGTCTTCTGTTACTAATTTTTTTTTTGCGATTTGCCTCATGGATGTCTTTTAAATGAGGTTGAGTGTAAGGCTACACATTATTTTGCCAAATGATTTACGACCTAAATTTTTGTGCTTTTCGAAACCAATTCGCTTTCACTATGATTAAGAACCTCCTTATAGCTTAACAAGGGCGGATTTTTATAACTTTTTTTTTTCATACAAGATTGGTGCGATAAAATCGTCGATTTGATCAGGTCAGACCTGCATCAGAGTTATCCGGGATTTTCAGCGAACGGTAGTACCTGCTGATCGTTGTTTCAATTTCGATATTTTGTGATCTGGGTGATGGAAAGCGTTGTTCTTGAGACCAGTCATGTGTGTTATGTATACTTGGATAAGTGACACCACCGAAAATAGGATGAGGTGCGTTATACTGTGTCTAGTTCTTCCACGACACTGTGAGCGACGGGCCCAATAGTATGATGCTTGCGTCATATCGTAACGCTCCGGTTTTGATTCTCAGAGTCCGTAGGGAATGCGCACTGGTGATGAATTCACGAATCTGTCGTCGTCTTTTTCTCATATTTGTGTTGAGGATTTTAGGTCTAGCCATGATGAAATAAAATGAAAATTATACAAATACCAAAATTACTAATCAGTTATATACACCTATGCCAGATCCAGCTTCTGCTGCTCTGTACTAAGTTGTTTGGTTGCTTTTGGGGCATGTCTTGTGGGTTATGTTTGCTTGGATAAGTGTCACCATTGGAAATATGATTATCTGCGCTATATTGTGTCTAGTAACTTAGTTACCTCTTTGGAACCTAGGCCCGCTTGTCCAATGTTATAATGTTTACATCATGTCGTAACGGTCCGGCATCGATTCTCAGAGTCGGTAGAGGATGCGCATCGGTGATGAGTCAACAAGACGGCCGTCTAATCTTTTTCTGCATGTGTGTATGTTGATGATCCTAGGTCGAGATATGATAAACTATTATGAAAATTATACAAATCCCTAAATTACTAATATACAGATATATCTATATACATTATTTTTAGTGGATACACATATTTGAGTTAGACTTTTCGTTTATTTTTTAAATGGTATATTTATTTATTTTCGTCTACAGGCCTGAAAATCTTATTATTAAAAAATATGGGTTCTCCGCAATCCGGTGGGTGAAAATAAAAACATATTCATTTTAATAAATAATAAATCGTCTATTCAAATATGGGTTTATCCGCTAAATAAAATGCTTATGTAATAAAATCTGTGGGATTAATAAATGAAAAGGATCCATTACCTCTTTAGAAATATATGTATGTATGTGTGTGTGTGTGTGTGTGTGTGTGTGTGTGTGTGTGTGATAACAAATTGCATCTAATGTAGTACTAACGGACGAAACACGTCACATGATATCATTTTCCACTTCGTTATAAATTTTCAACAATATACTTGAAAAAAAAAATATATATATATATATATATATATATATATATATATATATGTGTGTGTGTGTGTGTGTGTGTGTGTGTGTGTGTGTTAGATAACAATATATATATTAAAGATTATTCTACCAGAATTCTCTTCTTAGAATCCCCGACTTTCAGTCGGGTTTCGATCCTAGATAGAGGCAACCCGACGTCTAGCCATATTGATGAGCCGTAACACAGAGAAACAGTCTTGTCTAAGGATGACAATATATATGCTCCTGAAAAAATTATTTCAGTTGAACTCTCTGGGGAGGAAGTGTGGGTTTGTAAACAG